CACCACCACCACCACCACCACCACCATCATTATGTTCTTTATCATCATGATCATCATCCTCATCATCATCGTCATCATCATAATGACAATAATTATCATAATCAAAGTTAGCTTCAATGGAAAATCTATGTTGAGCAAATATGAAAATTTAGTCAGACAGTACTGTCAGAAATTAGAAAGCAGTAATGCATTTATTTGGTTTTTCCAAACATATTTAATAAAAGAACGTAACAGGCTAAAGTGTCATTTTTTCTCTGAAAGCAAAAAGCCTAATGATTCACTAGCTCACAATGCAACTACACCAACTAAGGACACCCACACGAATTTCCATACAAATTGTAATTTACATGTGAATAAGAAACATATTTCATCCTCTAGTCACAAATAAAATGTTGTTATTGTTCTTATCCACATGTGATGTGGCATAAAAGCCCCATTTACACTGGCGATTTTTGCAGTGATTTTTGCTGCGATTTTTGTGGCAATTTTTGGAAATGTGAAATTTTTTGTCTCATCCTTCAAAAGAGACATTCGTCTAGGAAAATCTTGGTATCCTGAAAAAAACTTTACAAGTAAATTCTTTACCATTATTTATTATGGAGAAAATCGCAAAAAATCGCAACAAAACCGCTAGTGTAAATGGGGCTTAAGGTTTCATTATGGTGGGGAAGGTCAAACATTAAATGTTAACATCTATTTGGAAGAGGGAAATGCTGCAAATTACAAACTTTCTAACCTGCAAAGCCTATCATTTCTAATCAATTCTTCTGTAGCCACTCTGTCCATCAAAAACTCTGCAGAAAGCAGAGGGAAGCGCACATGTCTTAGAACCTCTGAGGCATATTCCTGTAAAAAAAAGCATTTCCAAATTCCCTAAATTATGAGTGTTCTTAATGTTAATAATCAGATTAATAATGGTAGAGAAAGGATGCTCTGAAACTGACTTCCAACTGATTTGAGAATAAAATGTTAACCAATTTTCAGAATCAAGAAAATTTGTAAAGCTAAGGTTTCACTTTTTCTCTTGAAATTATGGATTTCCAGGCTACCAAATGAAAAAAATAATTATGTTGCTAAGTAAATGCGAATAATAATAATACAACAGTGATTTAATTGCATTGAAGGGCATGTTTAATATTTTTCCCTGGTCAATCTTTGCAGGTTTCATGGCATTTCAATTTTGAGGTGACATGATTACTACATCATTATTTCAGATCAGTTGGAACTTTGTCTTCCAAGAAGAACTTCTGTCATATTACACTGGTGGTCTTGGCCTAGGTGGGAATGATCAGGTTATGGGGCAGCATACTTTACCTGTCTGCCTTGAATGTCATATTTGATCCATGCAACAACAGCTTCAAATACCCTCTCTTCTGAATGAACACTGAGTTCATCTTCTAACACCAACCGTGCTAGCTGTTTAGCTGACATTTCCATAAATTCTTCACCTTGTACAACTTCTACAAAATGATTTCTTGCAAATAACTCAGATGTGGTCAAAAGTTCCCTGCAAGAATGGGCATCTGCCAGTGCACAAATACCTACAAATGAGTACAAAACTAGATTGACTATGATTTATTAATACATTATATTCTCCATATATTTTCTTAAAGATAAAAGTCAATAGGATATCCTGTTTTGTCACTGTAAAGTATGAGATTGTTTGTTTGAGCGCACTGTGCTACTCAGTACCATTTACTTAAAATCACACCGAATCAGACTTTTTATTGTTTTTCACACTATTTGTCATTTTTTGCATTATTGGTCATTTCAGGGGCCGCAGAGCACCCTAAAGTGTGTGTGTGTGTTGGGGGGAGGGGGTTGGGTGGCTAGGATTGGTAAATATAAGAGACTAGTAGAGAAAAGCCCCCCCCTGCCCACCCCCTCCATGGCCCCTGTATTTCTGTTCAATTTTCAAAAAAATACCCACAATAAATCACCAAATTCAATTTCATCTTTCTTCTAAATGAAATTAACTTTCAAGAATCAATTGGTGATTTACCCGAATAAAGATAAGCTGAATCATATTTCTAATGGAATTTGTAGCAAAACTATGGCGTATTGTGGTGAGTAAAAGAATATTTTCTGAGTGAAATACATTCACTTCTTCAGCCGAGTACAGTTTCATGACCACTGGCAAGTTAGGCAATTTTTATTGGTGATCAAGTTGACAAGCAGTGTGACATGCAGAACACTGTTTATTAGCATAGAAAAACACAGAGCCTGAAACTCACTGTTTAGAATTACAGGGATAACACCTTAAGAGAGGACTTAAAGGAAATCATTCCTTTCTATGAAACATTACATTATCTTTTGGCTATTATTGCAAACTTCTACAGCAATTAGCATAGGAAGGGGGGGGGGGGGCGTGCTCCTCGCCCCAATAATTCTGCTTTCCACATTATAATTGAATTTATTGATTAAATTAATATGGGATTCCTGTGGATTTGACAGGAAAATGATACACTGCCCTGTAGCCCTAACCTCATTACATCCCTGTACCGCTATACTGGGCCTCTGTGCATGATACAGGCAACCCAGTGAACACCTATAGGGTGCCTTGTTTCTTCAGAGATTTTAATTTTGAGATATTCTAGGTATTTTGTTGAGCTTGTGAGACAAGGTAATGTAAGGGGAGTCGGAACTTACTATGAATTGTTATCAATCTTACAAAGAATCAAGCAACTCACCAATGCAGTTTTCTGGGCTTAGCTGTCTTTTAAGGAACTCACAACAAGCTTTTTTAACAGACTGCACTTGTAATAAGCAGGCAATATGTAAAAGATCCTGTACATTGAGTTCTGAAATCTGTATTTTGCCAGAGTAGAAAAAATCTACCATGGCCTCCATGGCAGATTCCTCTAGCTCTTGAAGTGTGACAGTACTCTGACGACTCTCTAGCAGACCACCTGACAACAAAAAAGAAAGAAAGCTTTTAATTGTGATGTCAACAAAAACCAGTTCTATAGTGATTTTTGCAACTATTTTTTCATTACAGAATTTATTACCAAAAGCTTTTGAGTTGCTTCAGTTGAAGGTTAAATCATTGAGAACATTTTTTAACTTTACTCATATAAGCAGTTTTTGTGAGCAGTTGGACCCAGTGATAGGAGTGGGAAGGTGATAGCTCTGCCCTTTCATAATCACTTGACAACGTAGTGACATTGATAGACATCTGGTACATGCTAATTGATTGGACTATAGACAGGAATCCTATAGCAGATTTCTGCATAGGTCTCTTAGGCAAGGTCCTGGATACCTCCTGAAGACACTATTGTACAATTTTTCATTTTGTCGAGCAAGAATCAGCAAGGAAAAAAGGTTTCTTATGACCTGTGTTACCACAGGTGAAACATCTTCATAGATCTATAATAATTATGGAAAGCTACAATGTTATAGATTGTGTTTCATTTCAGCCCATATCAAAGTAGTCTACTTATACAGCTTACACTGAAATATAAAATGATAAATAGGAACATGAATCCTCCATACCTGTGAACATTGCCCTAAAGTATGGACTGTTTGATGCTAAAACAACCTTGTGAGTGGTGATAGACTTATTGCCCACCATCAGCACCATGTCACAGAATTCCTCATGTTGCCTTAATAAACACAAGTTGTTGACAAAATCTCTACTATGAGCTATGTCAGTAAACAGAAAGGGGTGACCATCTGAAGACTGGCTGTCATGCCTTTGATATGGCTTGTTAGCATCTGATGGAGACGTCTGGATCAAAACTTTAGCCATTATCTGAGGCAATAAAAAAAGATCTCATCAAACTAGATACTGGTTGATCATGATGCTACCAAAAAAAGGCGACATCATTCCATGATACATAAGGAATTTTGATATATCCTTATACTAAAGTACACTATTATAACCTGTAAATAGCCAGGGTAGGTTTATAATATTACTAACATATGGTCTATAGTGTGTGTATGGCAGGGGTAAAATGAAACTTTTAGCAGAAACTTGTGTGCAACAGTTTATTTCTACAAGTTTAAGGTGACTGCCTACTTTTGGAAAACAATTTAAACTTTTTTCAAAACTTCAATTTTCTGAATTGAAATTGAACACTGATTCCAAATCTGGAAAGAAAAATTGGGTGTTCCGAGTTTGTTTCCGAGATAAACAGCATTTAATGGAAGCCTACGCGCGAGCATTTAGAGCAAAACTTGCACCACCAGAAGTGATTAGAATAAAATGAAGATTCATAAGATGATAGTCATTTGCAGACTATATGATTGCACAAATGAAGGCTAGTCAATCATTCTATAATAATACATGGATATTTTCGATCAAAAAACAAAGAGATACATTGATTTGTCATTTTGTAGTTTCGGTGCTCTTAAAAAATCTCATAAAGTCGAACAAAAATCCCTACGAAAATCTATTTTTTATGTGGTTAAATAAAATATTTCAGCAAAGTTAGACTTGAACTAAGTTGCCTGTTATCGCAAGTATCTGTCATCAAAAGGCTATAGCTTCGCGGCCATCTGATAAGCAAATTAATGTCTCACGCAATGAGATGAATGATGAACAGATGGTATCTGGGGACGAAGCTTGCATCGGGTG